TTTCTCTTTCTTTACCTCTCTCTCTCTCCTTCCCTCTCCCTCTCCTTCCCCCGCCCTCTCTCTCTCTTCCCTCTTCCTTTCCTTCCCCTTTCTCTCTCCTTCCCTCCATTTCTCCCCCTCTTTTCCCCTCACTTCCACGCCTTCTACAAAGCCCAACGTTTCTTTCCCTCGGAAATCTGAGACCCCGAATACGAGCCTTGCAATCTACCCTGCGCCCTAATCTCTCCCTTACCACCGCCCCTCCGACACCCTCCCACCTTCCCTCCCTTCCTCTCTCGCTCTCTTCCCTCCCAGCCTCCCTCCTTCCTCTCTCGTTCTCTCTTTCCCTCCCTTCCTCTCTCGCAGTCTCTTTGCCTCCCTTCCTCTCTCGCCTCTCTCTTTCCTGCCACCCTCCCTCCCTTCGTCTCTCGTTCTCTCTTTCCCTCCCACCCCTCCCTTCCCCAAATGCCAAGAAAATCCGGGTAGCGACTTCGAGGGCCATGGGGGGGGGGGGGGTAGGCGAAATGGACGACACTGGACATGGAGACTGAAGGAGGGGGATGGAATGTCACACGACTCCCTCTCGAAGGCAAAATTCCCTTCTCAAAGGCAGCGAGGACGAGAGTAACAGAATACGCTCGAGGGCGACTCTTTTGGCAACCGCGATAAATTAACCCTTTTATCGAGCTCTGCCTCTCACCTTCTCTTTCTTTTCTCCCGCGAATTGGGCGTAGAGCACCGCCCCATCGTTATCTCCTATCTTCAACTTTCTCTCTCTTCTCTCCCCTCCTCTCACCATCTCCCTCTCTCTTCTTCCCTCCCTCTCCTACCCTTCTCCCTCCCTCTCCCCCCTCTTCCACCCCTTCTCCCTCCATCTTCCACTCCCTCTCCTCCTCTTCCACCTCTCCCCCCTCTTCAACCCTTCTCCCTCCCTCTTCCATCCCCTCTCCTCCTCTTCCACCCTCCTCTCCCTCTCTCCCCCACCTCTCCCTCTCCTTTCTTCCCTCCCCTCCTCCTCTTCCACCTCCTCCCTCACCCCCCCCACCCGCTTATCCTTTCCCTCTTAAATGTTTAATTCACCCTGATAGCTAGACTGTAATGCACTTGTCAAGTTTATTATGCAATACGGCTCTCGTCCCGCTGGCTCTAATTGACCTTGACTCTATCGCTACTTCATCTTTTTTTTTTCTCTCTCTCTCTCTCTCTCACCGACCTCTCGTTGGCTCCTGCTCTGCGCGGGAACATGCCAAGGCGGGTGACGTGGGCTCTCTCTCTCTCTCTCTCTCTCTCTCTCTCTCTCTCTTTCCTCTTTCTCTCTCTCTCTCTCTTATCCCCCCTCTCTCTCTCTCTTTTTCTTTCTTTTCTCTTTAGCTTTCTCTCTCCTTCTCTTTCTTTCTCATTCTCTTTATCTTTCTCTCTCCCTCTCTTTCTTTCTTCTTTCTCTCTCTCTCTCTCTACGATTTCTTTTTCTTTAATGAATGTGGAGAGATTGAGTGATTGATTTATAACGTTGATTATGTTGAACGCGGTTTGCTTGCTTGCGAAGTAAGGGAGGGAGGTTGGGAGGGAGGAAGGGAGAGAGTGAGAGAGGGAGGGAGAGATAGAAGATATCAGCCCCGCCCCCAAAAAAAAATGTATATATATATATATATATATATATAATATATATATATATATTAGAGAGAGAGAGAGAGAGAGAGAGAGAGAGAGAGAGAGAGAGAGACGAGAGAGAGTATCTTCATCTCTATATACGCTATAATCTGCCTTTGTGACAACAAAGGTGCGATCACAAAGACACGATTTAAAGCGACAAGAAACACGTTTACTACAATAAGTGGTACTTTTTTTTTCGAGGGGGGCTGTTTTTTTTATTATCACATACCTTCTCACACTTTTTACATACATCGACAACCCAAGAAAATGTTGTAGAGAAAGTAAGAGAGAGAGAGAGAAGAGAGAGAGAGAGAGAGAGAGAGAGAGAGAGAGAGAGAGAGAGAGAGAGAGAGAGAGAGAGAGAGAGAGAGAGAGAGAGAGAGACAGAGAGAGAGAGACAGAGACAGAGACAGAGAGAGAGAGAGAGAGAGAGAGAGAGAGAGAGAGAGAGAGACAGAGACAGAGAGAGACAGAGAGAGAGAGAGAGAGAGAGAGAGAGAGAGAGAGAGAGAGAGAGAGAGAGAGAGAGAGAGAGGAGAGAGAGAGAGAGAGAGAGAGAGAGAGAGAGAGAGAGAGCCTGTTGTGTGTATGCGTGTGCGTGTGTGAGCGAGCGCATGTCTGCGTGCGTGCGTGTACGCGCTGGCGTTCACAGTACCTGTCTTACTGATATTTACAAATCCAACATGACTTCCTTAACTACCTTGTCAACAAATGGAAAAAATATATATCCACTTGCAGGGCGTTCATTTGTTTAAACTTCTCCAAAGAGACAAAATACTTTCACATTAATAAAGATGAAGACCCGACTGAATGAATTATGCAAATTGTTAATCCTGTAGAAAACACTTAATGAAATCTTGCGCCATCAATCATATGATGAATGGAAAGGAGAGGAGAGAGAGAGAGAGGAAGGAGTAGAGAGGAGGTGAGAAGAGAGAGAAAGGAATGGATGGGAGAAGAGAAGAAAAAGGGAGTGGGAGGAGAATAGAAGCAGATAAAGAGTTAGACTGACAAGGATAAGAAAATAAAAAAAAACGGGGAGAAAAGAGAAAAAAACAGGGAGAGGAGC